AATGTAGAAAACCGTAAACACGAAAGAATGCAAAATGAATTATGATTCATAGGGCAAAAGGGGAAATAAAACAAAAAAAAAAGAAAATATATAATTTTATAATATTCACAGCATATTTTACGTGTGTATATATACATATATATATATATGCATACATGTAAATATATATGATATATATGTATGCATATACATACATGTACAAAAACTAAAATTATACAAAACGTAAAAAAGCAGGGGATAATAAATAACCACGTGAAGAGGCTCTGGGAAGCCGAAGCTTCTCAGAACAAAGTAAGTAATAATAGGAGTGACTTTAATTTCCGGAGATGGGGAGAAGTGCTTTTATACCCCAGTGGTCAGCGACCACTAAGATTATGAAACTTTAACAGGATAGGTGTCCAAAGGTTGGACTGGGGGCCGAGGTACTGTGACGTAACTATTCATTACGCAGTTTCTAACAAAAGAAACCTTAAGTCGTTATGTGATAATAAAATAAATTATGGCTTGTTACAAAAACCAAATTTTTTTCTGAAAAAAAGACCAAGGTGAACGGAACATATGACAACGGCTAATGGGCCAATGCAGCTTACAAAATTGATTCATATCATAATTTATGTTTAATGTACGTCGCTACCCCTCTTCATACTTATTTTTTTCGCACTTATCAACAGCTAGCTTATCATATGAGGTAAAAATTTCCCCCAAAAATTCGGGAAGTAAATGCATCACTTTGCAGAATTTGCATATACCTAAGTGTTGTAGAAATTTTAGAGATATAAACAATGAATATCGCTGGCTAAGAGGTTGGAAGAAGACGGGGGACGGGGGGGGGGCGAAGCTGGAATCGTCTATGTGCTAATAAATATACCTAAAATAAACACCGAATATAATTACTGGGTGGCGCATACCTCCAGAAATGTGGCGGCAATCCTCGAAGATGATTACATATTGCACGATCAGCAGCACTGTCCACAGTATCTTCAGCCTGTATAATCTCCGAAACAAAGCTTCTCTTTGCTGCTTCAAAATCCTGCTCATCTATGTGTTCCAGTTCAGTGTACTAAAAAATTCGATTCAAAATTTGTGAGGGAATGAAATCAAAATTTTTCATACTTTAGTGGACTGATCAGTTGCAATTCACTGCTTTTCTCCATTTATGCAACTCCTCGTTGCTGCCACTGATCAATGCTGTATCGGTCAGTGGTCAAAAGCTACTGTGATGACAAAAAAACTGATGTTCGTTTCCGATCATGAACAGTGGAGTGTCAGTGCAACGGTTTTTTCGATAAAAACCATTTTTTTTTCTTTGGCAAAATCTAGCATTTTTTGAGATTTTACGAATTTCGTCGTTTGATGTATCATAGACAAAAGAGATCTGTGATAACTGCATCCGTAATATCAACCAATATTTGCACTCTTATCGACCGGCTCATCACCACATTACCTGCGGCAAATATTCATTCCTGGATCCCAATTAAGGTTAAAAGAAAAATATAATGATGATGGAAAAATATAAGAAAGGTTGATGGAAAAAGAAAGAATGCAAGGATGGAAAAAATGAGAAGTATTAAAGTAGGTAAGAAATGTTTCGGTTCATTAAGTCGTATACATTCCTTACCGTTACTTGAGTTGCTTACTTGAGCCGCTATATGTCATCGAGGTTCATTGTCACGCGCCATCGATGCAGCACTGGCAACTTTTCCATTCAACTCATTGCTGCGCTCTCCGAGTCCATGTGGTACCGTATAGGTGTGCTACAGGGTCTCTCCACCTCACTGGTGGCCTCCCTCAGTGATCGCTTGATTGTGCGCAGGTAACATTTCAATTATCCGCTTCGTCCATTTGTTATCTGTCATCCGTGCCACATAGCCAGCTCATCTCTTCTTGCTGGCCTACACTGCTTCAGTAATGTCTTTCAAGCCCTTGATCTGGACCCACTAGCTCTGACTAAATGCACAATATCGTTTCAAAATGTCAATTATTTTTCAATTTCGCCCCGATTTTTAACCAACCTTCCAATGTATTATCCGGCTTACCTCGTCACTCGCCTTCATTCTTCCGTTCCCTCCATTTTCCAACTGCCTCTTTTCCCTCTCCACCATTCTCTACTGTTCCTCGTCCGCCTCGAAATTAGTGAAGAGGTCCAATTGATGAGGTTCAGTTACGAAGTACACAACTTAATGAACCCAAAAATCTTCGCTCCCTGTTTTTCACTTCATTCTCCTTCTCTTCTTTTATTTTCTCTCGCTGTCGTCTTTCTCTCCTTTGGTTTTACTCCCGTTTAGTTCACACACTTGTAAGCATTTAACCAGTTGTCTATCTGGTCTGCTCGAAGCTCTGGATCAGGAAGTGCACTACAAAAACTTTGCGGCAACTCAAGCAACGATCATTAGATGGCAAAAGCACACGAAGCAAAAACTTACCACAACTTTTTTCGCTTGTTCATAGGCTTGCTCAAGTTGCGCACTTCGATAAATCGAGAGTTCCAGCAACTGATTATCGGGGCTCACTTCAATTCGCACCGTATACGCCAAACCTTTGCCACGGATCGCCTTCCACAGCGGACCTTCTGCTTGCGAGAGATACTGCGCCAGAAGCTGTACGGCAAGCAATTCATCACTGCCCCAGTTATGCAAAAAATTCACTGACTGCAACAAAATTACCATTACAAGTTGTAAAATTAAAACAAATTGACTGTGAATTATGAATTGCTGACTATGAATTACGAATTATGAATGTGAATTATGAATCGCTGATTATAAATTACGAATTATGAATGTGAATTACGAACTTATGTATATGAATTATGAATATGAATTATGAATTGCTGACTATGGCTTACGAATTATAGATATGAATTGCGAATCATGAATACGAATTATGAATATGGGTTATGAATTATTGCTTATAAATTATAAATTACTCCACACAACAATCAGTGTTTATCAAAAGCACTAACTGTTGCCTCTCATAATCAATAATTATCGTTACTGCTAAGGGATGCATGACTATGTTCATCGTTATAAATGATATTTATATTGATCCCTTTTATCTAAAATCGTAATAAGTCATACACATCTTGTTAACACAGGCAAAAAAAAGGATCATACACCGATGGAACAAAATCATACAGCTTCTCCGATGTCCTCAAAGTGTCGTACCAGAAGAAGTAAAAATAGCTGAACAAGATAACAGAATGAAAATGAAGGGCGAAAAAAGCCCAGCCAAAACTGTTCATGCCAAGCATGGTGTTACACGGCCGTAAGTAGGCTGAAGCTTACCTAAGTGGGCCATGCTAATCGAAGGAAATCCAGCATAGCTGAATATCATGCGATTTCAGACGGAAAGGATGGAATTTAGTGTATGGTAGTGGAGAAGAAATGAGAGTTACCAAACTGTGAGAGCTAGCTCCTATTCCCGATCATTCCCGCATCCAAATCAAAATATTGTGTCGCACCAGAGCTTCCCCTCAAGGCTCTGTTTTGAGTTAATCCAGTGCAGCACTTTCTCCTATTGAAAACTCTAGGCTTATCCCATTCTATGGTAGCAAACCGAATAAGTGGATAAAGCCAACGACGTGAAATGAGAATTTAAAATTGCTCCGCTGTAAAACCCTTCGCAATCTGAAATTTAAAAAATTACAAAAACCGCGTTATTTCCTTCTACCAAAAAGATAAACTGTTACTAATAACAAACATAAACAGCTTAAAACAAGATGTCTTAAACTTGGCTAAACATACACAGCTTATTTTCCATGTACACCACAGGCATCTGCCTTCAATATCCCCAAAATACCTCATTGCTAGCTAATGTTTATTCTCTGAACAGCGTCTACAATTCTGTCTAGGCCTAAATAAGTATTTTAGTATCTAAAATATCAGACTAAAGCATGAATATGAACGAGGGAAAAGCCAGAACCTGTTCGAGGAAAGACGCCTCGCAAGCAGCAACACTGATGACACGCTGACGTCCAAATCCACTCTTTTCTATCGATTCTCCTGGGGTATTCTAAAACAAAAAGTTTTCTTGTTTTAAGCTTCAAAAAAAAAAAACATGCTCCCCGTGAACGATGAACTGGCACCAAAAAAAAACGATGTGTTATTTCTCTATGTGTTTTCACTGCCGTGTTGTTTCTTGTTACTGATGCAATAGCTGGCAAATTCTTCATTCTTCTGTATTTTACACTTATCCCATTCATGTAACTGCCCGTTTTCATGGAAAACCTGCGAAAAACCGGCCAAGAAGCTGCCACAAAAAAAAGAAAATAAAGGTGAATCTTGCCCTAAAAGGCAGATGCACAGTAGATGTGCTGCCAGGTTGAACCTGTAGCAAAACGTCCGATGGCGTAGTGGCAACACATTGCGTCTACACGTGAAGGGGGGTGGTTTGATTCCTTACCAGTTCAGAACGATTTTCGAGAAAGGTCTTCACGACACTGTTAGTGTTCAAGTGAATGTACCTCCCAGGCAACCTTTTTAGCGTCTCTTTAAAACTGCGTTGCATCCATTCATTAATTCGTTTTCTCCTAAATGCCTCTCTCTTTTACCATACCATTAGTTCAGTTCTTCATAACATACACTGTCTTGATAGAATTGCTCAAATCAGACCGGGACTGCAGAATTTCACAGGAAACATACTGCAGTCTGCAGGCCTACCATACGTCATTCCATAGCTTGTTAATAAGGCCTAACTTTTCTTCTTCAGCATGAGTGATATCCCTTGTTTTATCCCTAGATAGGGCAAAAAACACTGCTTAAGTAAAAAAAAAAGTCGTTTTCAGAATCGATGCTGTGTTACAGCACCCACACTTATTCATTATCCTGAGTTTCTTGACGCTTCTTTTGCCTAAATCCGTCATTCCTTCAAAAAACCACCACGAACGGTTTTTTTGATCAACATCAATTACTGATACGAGACGTTCCTCTGCTGTCCGCAAAAAAAGCAAAATTTCCTGACAGTTGAATTTATTTTCTTCTCCCATCGCACCAACATTCCGAACGTTGCGCTTTATTTTATTATTCTTGCAGTCACAAACAGACACTCCAAACATTCTTCACTTCACTGTCCTCTTTATTTTCATTAAGTGTACGCTCTTCAGCTTTCGTCATGTCCGCATATTTGGAAATTTAACTGATAAAGTACAGAAATGTGCGTAAACGTGAAAACAAAAATGGTGCAATAAAGTTACTTACCAAAAATGCGTTGCATGCTTCAGGATTAAGTCGATTACAGTGGAGAAGCCACTGAAGACTTGGTGCAAAGGAAGGCATGATTTCTCCTGTATTACAGACAATATGCAAATTCTTTGGGGCATTCAACAGTGCCAATCGTAGTACTTCGAGTTTATTCAGCACCTGAAAAAAACCGCCAAGTTAAACAGCCCCTGAAAAAATAAGCACAATCTTTGTTACAACGTAACAATTAGAAATTTCGAACATATAGTCCAGAATTTACCCCTCGTACACAGACAATAAGGTTAAATTGCGGGGTTCCATTCTCCAGCATATGGCAGCACTAACTTGCCATCAAGATAGATGAATAATTCGTGGAGGAATTGAAGATTTATTCAAAAACGCAAAAATGCCAAGAAAAAAAGAAAATTCACCTCTGTAGGATTTTGTTCCGTTTGCTTGAGAACATTTTGGTGGAATTTCTCTAACTGTAATACACCATAAATATACGAATTACTATCTGAAATTTCGATTTCAAATTCAAACAAAAATAATACATTCCTAAAGAACTCAAGAAAATATCGCAAGCCCTGTATAATGCTTGTCATTATGATGCAACTTTTTAGACTTCCCATTTCTTGTACTAATTCGATCGCCATTAAAAATGTACAATGCCGTCGTATCTCTAGCGATTGAATTCGTCTATATTTAACCCAGCTTTTGGCTATACAATGTAAAAAGACCAGCAGGAAGGCCATCGATGCACTAGTGCGATTCGCTATCTCGGTTATATGGAGTACTGTGGATGAGGCGAGCTCAGGACAGAAGTCGGTGGCGCGGTTGCCGTCTCAGTCACTGGAGAAGATCAATAGCGTGTCAGTGACGGAAACGCCGTATCAACGATCAAATGTCAAGTTGGCTTTACCATCTTCTGAGTTACGTAAAAAAAAGTGGGACGGCAAAAAGCGGGTAATAAATGCCCAACCAAAAATCACACTATCACATGAAAAATACCAAGCAGCATAGAAATAAGAGAGGACGGTTTAACTGAATAAAATAATTGGCCAACGCACGGGCTGCCCGTGCGAAGATGCGTTTTTTGCATAGTTCCCCGCAG